GCAACCGCGTTCATTCTGTTTGATGGGTGCAATGTCCCAACAAATAAGGAGGGCTGCATACTCAAGTCGGCAGACCATACCCAACGCCAATCGAGGCGGCTGGCCATGCATGTGATGTGCGACTGAAGGCTTTGAATATTAGTATCCACTGGAAAAATAAAAAAGTGGAGCCGATCAGTACACATTCTTGAGCTTATCAATCACAATTTTTGACAAGTCTAGCCGCATTCAACTCAACTTTGCTAGAGTTTGGAACACTGAATGTGTGGGGCATAGTGTGCTCACAGACATAACGCGAGTGTCGTTGTTAGACGCCCAAAAGGACACGCACGCACCATTAAGGCCTCTGGCTATGTGGAAATAGGCAAGTATGCACAGACTGGGCGCACATCTCATCATGTCCTGCATCTGCAGTAGTAGCCTGGCTGCACAGTGAAGCATAGTGATGTGCACAAAGCAGCGGTTAGCATCGTTTTGCATTGACGTAAACATCCTCTCCTTACCTTACCTTATTAGGCAGGCTTTATTGCCATCGTCTTATGATCTCACACCTTCATTTCCTCATGTGATGTACATATAGGTGTAAAAATTTTTATAATCTTCCTTCTACTTTTTAAATGGCTTTATGAATTCGGAAAACGTGAATTTAATAGTGTTTACCGGGGATGCAGTGGCGGACACATATCGTGACGTTTTTATTGATATGCACTCGACTTTCCAACAGCGACTTTGATATTACAATCGTGCCTTGTTTTATTTTAAACTAGATTGCCCACCTTCTCTGTTAAAAAGTCGCCAGGCAAGTAAATTCAATTCCATCTTCAGCCATCATTGTACGAGTTGCTCCTATACTAATCGAGTCTCTCACAAAGGCGTGGGGAGTCATGGCAGCAACGCAGAAAATGTGTTGTGTAAAGAGAACCTAAAAGCTGCTTTCACAATACGAGGCATAGTGAAGTCATTATACTTGGAAAGCATTATGCAACATCTCTACTTCCAAATGTTGTTACCAACGTTCGCCAAGGCCAACCGCTACTATACTGAAGTTGGGGTTATTCGCAATGTGGAGAAAGTGAACGACGAGAGTGGACGACGGCGCATAGCATCATCTTGCAAATCCTTAGCTGGATGTAAGAACATCAACCTAAAATAATTTATTGTATGGACATGTTTCGACTGTCTGTACTGAACAATGACACCTTTGTCACTGCCCAACCCTGTGCTAGTCTTGAACCTCTTAAACTAGCGGCGACGAATTGTAGACAATCTACGAAGAGATCGCAGGGACAGCATCCTGCATAATTAGCTCCCATGGTTGACACGATCAATTCATGTGCTGCAAAGTGGAGAAACCATGCACTCAGCAGAATTCAGAAAGATAAATCCATCGGCATTTTTGCGACTCAGTGAGGATATATGGTTCAATTAATTTGAAAAAAAAAACGACCTAAAAATACCAGAGCAAAAAGAGTAATCAGATGACATCGTAAACACTTACCTCGGCATCATCATCACCATCATTGCCACTACTGGTGTTATCGTCGTTATCATCATCACAATTTAAGGGTTTTCCTTTGGGACCAGTGTTCGTGAATTTGGAAAGACTGTCTAAGGTTAACAAAAATGCCTGACTGCGAAATATCAGTGCTATGCAGCTGTGAGATTTTAATGCGACACTCGAGATGGCGACAGGATCGCGATTCAAACCGTGTGATAAACGATAACAACGACGGTAAATGCCCGAGATTTTCCACCATGTAGAAGAAAGTACATTGTTTAACAGAATACATGAATTCTAAGAGAGGAAGTAAAGCCTTGGCATGGCCTAAAGTTTGGCCCACATGTACCAAAGTAACCGCCGGACGTCAGGTGGCAATATTATCAAAGTATTACAACGAATTCCCAAAAATACTGCCACTGCAGTAACCCCATTGCTAAATTTTGACCTTGTACGGATGTCTCCAGGACGAAAACCATTACTGTGCTGCAAAATTTTCATTGTCAAAGGTCATAAAGAATTAAAGCAGCCCTAGGCGAAATTTCAGCCCACTTGCGAGAAAGTAACAAACCCGCCAAGCAAGCGACCAACCGTGAATTTATCTCCTGCCCAAGAGCTACAACAGGAGCAACATGGACACCGAATAAAGAAACCTGCTTTCAACCCATCTGGTTACTCTTTCTCATCTACACTGTACGTTAGGCGACGCTATGGTATCGTTAAACAGGATTTTAGGAGTAGGTGATTGGGATAAGCATAGTTAATAGATATTGAATCCAACACAATTGTACCAAACGGACACAAAAGACGGAAGATCTGGCAGTCAAAATCAGTGGCTGAGTTAATTTAGCCTAAACTCTAAAACACCTCAACATAACAAATAGAACTCCAAGTAAAAATTATGTCTGATATTATCAAAGTAGTATAATTCGGAGGTGATTGACAATAAAAATTGTCATTATATGTTTTGTAAAATTGATGTGTTTAAATTCGCATTAATAAAATTGTGTGCCGTTTCGTTTTGTCCGCGTTTTTTGTTGGGCAGTCATTTGCTTGGTCGGTTTTGATTTGTAAATTCGATGGCGGCTTGAGTTCTTTGTTCCTGCCTTAGTTTTTCCTATATAATTCATAACTTCCTTGGATTTTTACAATGACACTCAGTGTTCAGTCGGCTGTGTATCAGCAATCCGGTGCCCACTCATCTTTTGACGGCAGTCAGCTTGAGCAGGACAGGTTGAATCCTCATCACCAGGATTACCGCAACAGTGCAACTGTACAATCCTATCCAACGCCATCCCAACACATTCCTTCTGTTAATATCAATGCGGCTATAGCCTCGTCCTTGAAGCTAAAGAATTCTAGTCCCCCATCTCAACAAGTGGATTCTTCACTTGACCTTTTAAATAAAATTATATCCTTTCATAAGTCCCCAGCGACACCCTTGGATAGTCTCATTATGGCCCATATTGAACATATGCCCAATTCGACAGTCTTGATGAATGCTCGTAATGAGAAAAGCCTGTGTAAGTTTAGGCATGCTCTAAGCGACACTTCAATGCTTTAATAGTGTCAGATCCAGTTGACTGTAATACTTTGCAACGTCTGTTGTGCTCAGTTTGTTTTCTTCAATTTCGCATAGGTTGTCCAAAGGCTGCGTACCTCTTTTCTGACACAGAGCTCATTCGGTGCTGTAAGGGTGCTCAGTCGGCCCTCCCTCGTGTCAATTTGGGCCTTCGAAACGCTGGAAACACTTGTTACCTCAACTCCGTTCTCCAGTGTCTCCTGGCAACTGGTGCACTGCTATACTTCGTCAGGGAAAAACATAGCAAGCCTGGTGTCTGTATCTACGCAAATAACAAAAACGGTCGACGGTTCTGTGCGCTCTGCGCTCTCTTTCGACTCTTTCAGGAGCACGGCCAGCAAAACAACCACTCTCTGGTGCCTCAGTCTAGTGGTGACTTTCTCAACCGCACTAGCTTCGGCTCTACTACTCCTGCCCTCTTCGCTACGAATGTTCGGGGTAAGTTTAACGTGCCTCTTCATCTAAGCGTAAGCCGCTGGTGTGTATTCACTCACATTATTTCTCCAGCTGTTTGTCCAAACCTGCGAGTTTACGCACAGGAAGATGCTCATGAATATTTGCTGGGTTTGCTCTCGCGAATGGAAGAAAGCGTGGTTTCTGGTGTTGGAAAGCTGCCGCGCTCCACGCTCGACACAAATGTGATTCGTCGGATTTTCGGTGGTGTTACGCGCTCTGAAGGTGAATTTATGCACTGTATTATTGCCGCAATTTTTATTTTTCCAGTGGTTTGAAGTTATTCATATGTGTTTTTTCTTCTTCCCTTTCAGTGACATGCAACACTTGTCACAAAGTTTCCCTTCGGAACGATCAGTGGTTTAATCTGTCGATGGATATCACGTACGCTCGTAGTCTGCAGGTATGAAGTTGTAAGTCTTACAAGCCCAATAGTATGGGTTGATTTAGGACCCTTTGTTCCCTATTTTAGCAATGTCTGGTTAATTACACCCAGACTGAGATACTCCAAGGTGCCAACGCTTACAAATGTGAAACTTGTCAGCAGCTGCGACACGCGAAACGCTGTTGTCGCGTCTTTCGTGCCCCTCCTATCCTCATAGTTCAGTTCAACAGGTTGGTTTTTAATTTTCTCTTTATTCACGTAGGGGTCCTATATGCGCAAAGTGGAATGTTATATTTTGTGCTTAGGCTCCACTCTGCTGTGGCTGATTATATGCATAATGAAAACGCATCCTTTTTCGTCGGGGGAGGCGCTACTACTTATCATGTGCTAGTAGCTTGAAAGTGTCGATAACGTCGTTTAACTAGCTATTTTTAAGGCTCTTCAATTAAAGAGTTGTTAGGCGAAATTTACGTCCAGAAAGGGGGGAATGTGTTCGTTGTTGCACACTTTTTAAATTGTTGTCTTTGCTTTTCCTAGGTTTTCACGTAGTCAAAAGCTCGACTTTCACATAGACTTCCCCGCTTCCTTCAATATGCGCCCCCACATGACTCCCTCGAGTGGTTCGCCGGTGGTCTATCATCTCTACGCTACTCTTAACCACGAGGGCATTACGTGTCGCTCCGGTCACTATGTGGCATTTAGCAAGCGCAGGAACCAATGGTTCTTTCACAATGATAACGTAGTGAGTTTTCTGGCGATCTAAGTCACTGAACCAATTGTGCGACATGGACTGTTCTGCCATTGGAAATGGTTGATTTGCAGCGCAGTTTAAAAGTTACACTATTGGTTTTGAGAGCAGCAGTAGACTTGTATAATAAATGGTCTCTTTGCTAGCCCCAGTTAAATAGTCTTAGTTACAATGCTTGTTTCTGTGTGAGATACCTTGATGGGGGTTGGGGTTCGCTCTGGGTTCCTCGATGACTGCATGTTTTGTGCTTAGGAACGGTCTACTATTAAAGCATGAGTATGAGGGAGAATTGAACAATGAACGAGGTAAAATGTGGCGGAATGCGCAGCATAACGACTGCATTCCGTTTTAGGTGACCTCAACGACTCAAGAGTACGTGCTGCGGCAGTCGCCTTATTTACTTTTTTATCAGTTGGTACGTTATTAGTGTGAACCAACATTTTTACCGTTTTGTTCATTCCTTTTCCACTCCTATAATCCACTACTCTAAAATGTCCTTTCCCTACGCAGGTGTAGAGAAGGGAGTTGATCTAAGGTTATAGGACAAGTTACAACACTTACGGAGGTGAGGTTATTTGTTGCTCTGTACGATTGTCTACAGGTGCAAAACTCTCCTCCCAAATGAAGATTAGACAGAATCTCAGGGTCATCTGCGTTAGCTACTGCTGCTTGACTTCGTTCCATCTGTCACAAGTTTTATTTATCTGCATTCCTGCTTACATTGGCATAGGGAGTAGAGTTCTTTCTTGCAGGAATATGGATGATCAGATTTTGGTAAGTAGATGTTTGGATCGTGCCGATGGATGGTGGTGTACTCACGTGTTCTCACATTCCCTCAGGTACATTTTAAGGTACATTATGCTCTTCCCAGCTGTATGCTTTGCTTTTGGTAAGATATCACTCCTTATGCGTTCCAGGCCTCTCCCGAGGCTGTTTTGGGTTTGACTTCCGTCGGTGGCAGTGCCGGTCAGCCCCAGTTAGATGCCAAGCCCGCTGGTTCGGCTTCTACGCCGACTTCACCGCCATTGGGTCCTTGTAAGCCCGCAGCGTCAGAAGGGGCCATCGACATAGCATCGATTCCTTTACCTCCTGGACCTGCTCGACCAAAACCTGCCTTCGTATTCCATCCCCGTGTTCTCGCCAAACCCACTCCCCTCCTTCCCCAGTCTTCATCAGCGCCACCTGTTGGTGTTCCAGGTGAGAAACTAATTCTAGCATCGCAAGATTTCGTTTTTTGCCTCTTAACATGTATTTTGGCTTTGCATTTACGATGCGCTCCAAATGAATTTACTCATTTCGATGTAAGCATTCTCATGCTCATAATCATTTGGCTTTTGTATCGTTGAGTAGATTTAACATGAATTCGTAAGCGTGTTCAGCCCTGCCTCGCCATCAACTAATGTGGTCTTTCATATGTCTGAATGCGAACGTTGTAGCTCTGATCAAATCCATTTTAATTAGTTCCTAGATCGTCGCAATGCATTTTGCTCTTCGCATTTAATTTAGTAGGCAATTTTTTGGAGAAGTAGAATTCGTTACCGACAGCGTTGCTATTCAGTGAATTTCAGATGGTTGTTGGAATCATTTTTTTGAGATCCTTATTTTAACTTCAAACGGTTAGGAACTGTCATTGATGCACTGCGTATTCATTTCACTTTATATCAAGCAAACTAATGAAGTCAATTTTTTGGCCACTAAAGCACCCGAACCTCTTGTTCCCGCAAATGATGCGAAATGGACGGAGGTAAAGGTAAACGGAAAATCAACGTTTAATGGAGCATCTGTTGCTGTTAACACATCACCCTCGCATGCAAGTTGGTCCTCCTCCAGCACTACTAATGTAAGTTCTGCTTTACTTCTGGGAATGCTCTGTTACCGTTTTTGTTATGCCGATCGCGAAGGCGAAATGCACGACACCTGGAAAACATCTATTGTTTCAGGCAATATAACCCTTTCATGGTTTTTGTTGATCGCCATAGTTCCGTCCTGAGAAAAGGCATGGGTTGCGTTCACGGTTTTATCCGTAAGGCGGTGGATTTCAATGGTTTCTGGCCTTAGCAATGCACTTGGAGTCCGCTTAGTGAGTGGAATCCACGTGCTATAAGTTAGTGGAGGTTTGGTTATTGTGCTTATCGTTGACCCGTCGTTTTATATTATCCTGTCTTGCCTGTCTTAACGTCGACGATGCGAATGGTTCAATGGCTTTTACGCTATATCTTGTTCAGAATGAAAGCTTGACACGGTGCTCTCATTAACGATATCAGTCTGGAGCTTCATATGCAATCAGAAGGCGTATCTCTATTACCCCTTCCTATAAGCCGACAGACAAAATGTTTTTGGATCTGTGTGCAAAGGTAGGGGAGATTGGAACTTGTCATGAATCGATATTATTCGTTTCTTGATACAGAGAACTTGCCATTCTCACCGGTACTCTATCCGTCTATCAGATTTAAAAAAGATTATAGAGTGCAATCTTTTAAGGTGTATTGTTCGCTTGTTTTGAAAGGCACTATCACTTCACACTACGAGGAAGTACAATTCTCCAAAGCTCTCAAATGGTGGTAGTCGTTTCAGCCAAGATATCGAAAACAGTCATCTCGGCTCGTCCAACAATACGGCACACAATCGAAGTACAGTTGGTACTTCAAGTAGTGGTAGCAGCGGAAGCAGTAGTAGCAGTGGTACTGAAAGTACTGAGACTAGTGTAGAATGGGTTCCGATGACCAAAACTGATTTGCTGCAGCAACAACCTCACAAACGTGCCCACGGTGAATGCTGTAGCGTTAGATCCCCCTCGTCTCTCGATGATGGAGTTTCAGCTGGTCCAAAGGTGGCGAAGAAGGATTGTAACGAGGAAGTTAACGATGTGCGGAAATTTCATCACAATAAAAGACACAAGAAGATGAGGAGTCACAAGCACAGGCATCGTCATCATCGCAAACATCGACACAAGAGGAGGCGGTCACGCGATTAGGAGTCCTTGAGCCTCGTGCATGCTCTCTTGTCCCTCTTTCCTCTATCTCTCCGCTTCCCTACCCCACATACAATTCCTCAAGGAGAACAATAAGTGTGAATCATTGTATTCAACGAGCGTATGTATCTGATCGTCCCGCCGAGTGCAAACACGCACAGGTACTTGATGCCCTTGTTGAAAGTCTTTTTCTCGTCATATTTATGGATATCTGTATGTATACTCTTTGCTATGCGATTTTATGCGTTGCTGCTCCCGTTAGGCCGGTTCATCCCGATTTTGGTCGACTTAATATTTCCAAATCGTGTCTGTGATTCCTTGTGAGGGGATTTTGAGGGAATGTCTGAATGCAGCGTTGAGGTGAAATGACTGGTGTGCGTTGTGATTCATTGGATATCTCATGAGCATTCACAATGGATGAAATTGGGCTCGCGATAATGACGAAGGCAACAAGTTTGGGATGGTGATAATTTGTTCACTAGGTTGTGGGGTCAAATGATCAAAAGTTTAGCCGACGTCTATGTTTACCATCTGCTAGTCGGATAGGTAAATATTTCAGATTTTTATCCATAGTTTGCATTACTGAGTGCAGTGTGTAGCTGTAGAAGGCTCACTTATTAACCCGAATTTAGTAGTTTTGAAAGCAATAAATCCCTTGGTAATGCATTCGAAGCACAAATTGGAGCCAAGAGGGTAAAACATCAATCTCAACGTACTGTACTTCTGTGTCCATTACTCTGCCGATCAGTTCTCTGATGCGCTTGTAGGTTAACAGAAGCTGTTTGATATTTTGTGACATAGAGAATAAACCTGCCCGGGCATGCGGTTGGAAATCGCACAAAGCAACAAATTGAACGAAAATGTTCGTGTGTAAGAGGCGATAATTTGTGTCGCTATGAGGGCCTGAGAGGATTACGTGTTCAAGAGCCTGACAGGTGTGTTTGATGTGGAAAAGGTGGCATTGGGATACTGGTAGTGGGTACTGGAGGCAATTGACGGCTGTCGGTATCTTGAATTGCTCTAAGGTGTGAGAAAGTATGTTTTCTTGAATGCCTCGCTGCCTGATCTTCTGCTGGCGAATATACGACGACAGTGTTTCGATCAAAAGGAACGCGAAGACCAACAAGTTGGATATTCCGTGAGTTGTTCTAACGCATTTCTCCTTTAAATACGTAACTTTACAGGTTTGTTGTTTATATCGTTTTTCATCACGGATCTGCATCTTCGAGTGCTTGAACTAAAGTTGCTAACACAGGTACCACGCATCTCTGAATTTGATACTGAGATTATCACATCGATGGCGAGTAACTTATGGACTTCTGAGTTGTGTCTCAGAAATGTAAATGCGCATGGTGTCAAGTTAACTCGAAAAGTACTGCCGTATCCACGGACAATCGTAACAGAAGGCAAAAGATTAACAGTCTGTTCAGTAAGCGAGATTTTTAGTGAACAGGAACTTGCACTTGCACCATTTTTTTGCTAGCCGCCGAAAACGTAGAAAATCCCAGATTATTCGAGGTGTGTTAACTTCACCTCTAGAACGTGAGCTGTAACGCCCTTGACGTTTGTTTTTGCTTATAGTTTCATTTTTCTAGTAGCAACGAAGGTGGTGCTTGGATGGGATTGGACTAGTTTGTCCCTGATACTTCTGGTGTTTTGTATATTTCGCAAACTGTCACTTTCAGTTATCATTACTTGATGACTGTGATGAGATTCTCAGCTTAAATACCCTTAAACCGTCCATTTGAATGGAAAGCGTGAATTGGTTGGCTATACGTGCGACTTTTTAAGTTGATCGAGTAATGTTAACTGAGTGCTTCCTATCTTACTCAAATTACCAAGTTAACTTTTGAACTTGGCTGATTAAGCGTCGGTAACAACTGCTCCCTCCGGAGTGTGCACTAACTTCTCTTAAACTTTCTTTAGGCCATTTCTTATGCCACAGAGCATAGCGAGCCCTCGAATTAACCACAGCTCTTCGTCTCCAACACAGGTTCATGGTTGTCAAGACTTTATGGATGAGGAGCTTCATATGAGAATGCGAAATATGCATGTGTTACTTCCTCATATGAATAGAGGATGTCAGAACAAAACTATTGCGCACAGACGGGACCTCTGTTCAGAGGTCTGGTTCACTAATAACTTCGATATTTGATGACACCAGGGACAACTGCACCATCTGAATGGATTGTTCGTCCTTTCTCATCTCTTCGGCTGTGACCTTTCCAATGAAATTGTCGAAGTTTGGTCAAACTTACACTACGATTGCCTCAGTCTCTGACGTTTTATCAAACGTTATTTGGAATGGGTATTAGCGATGCAAAACAGTCGGGAATTTCGAGGCCTCCCTGCCGGTTTCCAACATTGGAAGGGTAAGTTGCTGCGTCGGTGAGGAGGAATAGGTCGTTATTCAAGTTGGCTACACCGCCTTCTCTACGCGAGAAAGCCATGCTGTAGATGTCACAAATTACTTCAGAATGGAAATTAGCGGCTGTCAAAGGGGACGAGGGGTGCTTATGAAGACGCTGAGTCGGTATAATCCACCGACAAGTGACGGGAGACGTGTGTGCAGGCTAAAACACGTCTTATGCCGAAAGGATGGATGAGTTAAAATGTGGGATTGGTGGAGTCAACAAATGTGAAAGCAGCTTTAATCGCGTAATGGGGGAAAGCTTCGTGTGATGTTGATTAATCAACTATGAGAGAAAGACTCACCGGTTCCACTACTCACCTGAGTAGCATCGACTTTTGATAAAATAAAATCACCACGTACATCCTATAATACACATAGCAGAACTCTTCTTTTTTAAAATAAGTCCCAACGAGTTACTCATTGGTTGCTTGTTGACTTCTCCTTAGAAGAAGTGGTGGCAGCAGGTCGAAGTCGATACGAGATGAAACTGACGTCATGCTTAATCGTCTTCCTCACCATGGTGACTACAGATTCGTGATGCGCGGCAGACTGTTCCAACATCCTAGATGCCAGTTGGACTGAGGAGGAAGTCAAACAACCCTTCCCATCCCTCGCCCACCCATAGCATGACTTGATATTATCTCTCCCACACAACACGACAGTTTCTTAGTCCTCACGATCGAGGTGTTTTTAATGTAGTAATTCCATCGTACCCAACACAGATGGCTACGTTTTTCGTGACGGAAAGCGTACTTACTACCTTAAGACACGAGGTACTCAAGTACGCTATTTCTGCAGTAATGATGCTAACTTTTTTGGCTCAGAGAGGTGACAGAATTAGAGAAGCAGTACATAAATGGAATCGACTACTCCTATCTCTTTCTTTATCATTTGAATCCTTCAAAATTGGTTCCTCTGGAGGTGGTTTACTTTAGAGGGCTTTATTTAGCATCTTGTAGATTACATATGTGGGTATTCGGATAGAGAAGGGGTGCGCGAAACATTCAGCCTCCTCTTAAATACGGTGTTTGAATTGAGTCCCGCCTCTCTCCTGCAATACACGCTTAGGCCGTATTAAAACAAAAATTTTTTCACTTCCGTCATCACTGGTTTGGGAGTGAGTGGATCGTACTTGTTTGAATGCATGAAGAGGTTTATAGGAGGAAAGAGAACAAGGCTGTTACTTTCTTTGAACAAGATTAAAGTGAATGTTGTTCCTACGGCTGGGGTGGATTGGGTAAGAATTAGTGTTTTGAGACGCTTCGAGGGTCATCTTGATTGCTTGATTGCGCAATCACTTCAGCTCTCAGAATGCAAGCACTCCAGAGCATTTGGCTCCCAACTCATCGGAGGGCTTGTAACGTAGGCTCCTTCGAGGCATTTCAATGCATTTCAATTTTCAGCGAGAGTGCAAAGTGTTGCAGACTTAGCTAACACTTGGATTAAAAGTCAGCCGACGACAATAAATGTGGTAAAACTGCACAGAATTGGAGCTGTTCTATGCAACTCAGAAGTGAAAGGAAGACTAACTTGGCTCATTATTCAAGGCAGTGCTTCTAGATAAGGCGGACATTCGGTGTGCCAAAAGTACTGACACATGTAGCAGAAAAGAGCGGAGCATTGCAAGAGGAGGTGAAAATGACGAATTGCAGCCTTTCTAACTTTTGTCCGTCTTGCACAAGGAATGCGTCATGATGGTCATCAAGAGTACTTTGTGAGGCTAATTTGCGACATTAGAATTGGTTGTCATTAGCGATAGCATTCAGCGTACTTGAAAATCAGTGGTGTCACAGCATAGCACAAAAACAATAACGACTCTTCCACAATTAAAGGTTCCACAGACATTATATGGGAAGACTCGTCGAAACAATATGTTTGCATGAGAAAAGTGGCAAGCAAAGAGACAGACGTGCCTCACCGAAACACAATGACTGAGTCTTACCTCTCCTACAAAGGGGCCAAGCAGCTCCTTCCGGAAAGGGTTCAGGAAGGTGACACCGAGAATTTAGAATTGCCGTCCTCTGCTCTACCAAAATGTCTAATCCTAATGACTGCAAAAGGAAGGAGGAAATTGGCCTGGTTAAGAGCATCGGGATGAATGGCCCTGAAATTTGTCTGACACAGAAATTTTTTATCAATCAGCGCACACTTGCCATCGCATCGGTCTAGGCGTCCACCAGTTAAGAGCTTATGCCATCAGACGCCCAAAAATGCAAACCTTGGTGCCACCGACTTCCCACCGCATTGTTACTCCCACTGTAGTTTTTAAAGTAGGTGGTAAGATTAGGGAGCACATCATTTTAAGTAGTTATAATTCGTGTTCAATAAAAGTGATGAAATAGAAAGAAATAAAACCACGCACTTATTGTGCATGGATTTTAGGATTTCAAATACTACGAATATTACCGAGGTGCCAATTAGATTCACTTTGAAGAGAAGGTCGGAAATAGGAAGCCAAACAGAAACATAGAAGAACTTCTCCACAAGTTGCAGCGTTAGGGAGAAACGCCTTGCCGTCCAAAAGCTGACACTTACCTCAGCAAGACATTAGCGAGCTTTGTATCTGAAGTCTTGCCGAAGTATTTATCAA